GGCTCAGGGTTGACTCAGCCCTCTCTAAGCGGGTTACAGAGGCAGCATATCGCCCCCAACAACAATCCGGGTCCTCATTTTACCCACCTCGGAAGGATGGAAGGCTGAGTCAACCCTGAGCCGGTGAGATTTGAACAGCCGAACTGCTGAACTGCAGTCAGCTGAAGTAGCCTGCAGTGCTGCATTTAACCACTACGCCACCTCGGCTCTTGTGCAGCCGGTCCTCACAATTTCCTGGTGAGGAAGGGGGAGCATGCCCACGTGCCCTGCAGGCACCTGCCATCCATGTGGAATGGACTCTTGGAGGCCGTTCCTGCAAACTCTAGCTACCGCGCCCCTTAGTGACGGCCACAAACAGAGCGCCATTCCCAGCAACGTTACGGCTGGCAAGAGTGTGCCAGAAACAGAGACGGAGCTTCCGGCCTTCTCTGGATCAGCTGATCCGCAGGCCGAGGTTAAGGGGCCTCCTGAACCTCAAAAATAATAAGACCTCTCCGAAAATAAGGCCAAGCGCTTATTTCAGGGGGGGGGAGATCAAAAGAAAATAAGACCCTGTCTTATTTTGGGGAAACACGGTAAGCAAAGCTCTGAGGCAGAAGAATTCCTCAAAGAATAGCTTTATTGGATGTACGTATGATATTGGCACACCTCTGGTGAAAACCGACTCTGAAGAGTCCCACGGTTTTCACCTAATCAACCCCAAACCACCAGTCACATGGTCCACTTTTTTGGTGATCTGCGGGCATCCCTCCTCCTTCCTCCTGCCAGGTGGGGGAATGTCCTTGGTTCCCAAGCGAAAGTATTTCATTTTGACTAGACAACCCCAGCTCCCTCTAATCCCCACCTCGCCATCTCTCAGCTCCAGTGTGGCAACACTGAAGCTCCAAGATGGCTCCCGCCAGGCCAGCTTCAGGGATGACAGGGAGATTGTGCTGCGACTTATTACAACTGCCTCAGTGAAGATGTTTATTACTTCTCTGGTTGGGGAGTTCCACTAGGCATGGGCTTTCCCCGAGGGAGGAGGGACGGAGTTGCAAAACAAGGGTGTGGACGTCAGGACACGAGGACATCTGCAGTCATCCTCGTTGGCATGATGGTGCCATTGATTGTATCATTTTGACGTCATTGTGGTTTCCTGCGAATCCATTGTTAGGAGATGAAAATGGACTCCGGGACATCCAGTAATGTCTGCCTTTTCTTTCGCCCTTCCTCCTCCTGCTGTTTTTCCTACACTCCTGTCTTCTCCGGACACTTCTCTGTTTTCCCTCCATCTTTCCTCTTTTTCCTCCTTGCCTTTCCAATTCCACTTTTGCCCTTATCTGTCCAATTTTTCCTTTCTTCTCCTTGGCTCATTCTTGTTTCTCTCAATCCTTCTCTTCTCCAACCCCGTTTTTCCCCATCCTTCTCTTCCTCGATGTTGCTCTCCTTCCAAACCTCCTCGACCCCACGTCTACCTTCCTCGCCTCTTTCTTCTCTCCATCTCTGTTTCTCTCGTCCCTTATTCTCCTCCTTTCTTCCTTTATCTCTCTCCTCCGCCATCTTCCTCCCTTCTGTCTTCCCTGCTCCGCAGACGAACCCGAGGTTAGAATCGATGGTTTTGACAGCAACTGGTACCTCAACCGGAAGGATGTGAAACTAACCTGCGTATCCGACGCCAATCCTCCCGCCACCGAGTACCAATGGAAGCGGTAAGTATTGACCCCCCAGCGCATGGGTGAACTGTTATGAGTTCTTCGTAGCACTGAATGAGTAAGAAACCCAATGGGAACACTTCTGTGCCCAAGGCCGTAAAGTTGCTTCAAGAGCCACTTGGTCAGATTGTGCAGGTGAAGGGAGAATGATTGATAGCTCTTTTCCTCCTTTATTGTACATAAACTGTACCCTGAAGACAGCAAGGTAGTGTTTCTAAGCAAGGCCCCATTTGTGCTACTGTTCTTAAGTCTTTATGTAACCCTTTTATGTATTCTAATTCTAGTCATTTCTTAGGTAGCTCAGTGGCTAAGACGCTGAGCTTGTAGATCAGAAAGGTCGGCGGTTCGAATCCCTAGCGCCGCGTAACGGAGTGAGCTCCCGTGACTTGTCCCAGCTTCTTCCAACCTAGCAATTCGAAAGCACGTAAAAATTGCAAGTAGAAAAATAGGGACCACCTTTGGTGGGAAGGTAATTGCGTTCCGTGTGCCTTCGGCGTTTATCATGACCCCGGAGAAGTCTTCGGACAGCGCTGGCTCTTTGGCTTTGAAATGGAGATAGCAATAGCAATAGCAGTTAGACTTATATACCNCTGAAGTCTTCGAACACTCTTCAAGGGCAGCCCCATGTAGAGCTCTTCCCTTCCCTTCTCTTCCCTTCTCTTCCACTCCACTCCACTTCTTTCTCTCTTCTCTTCCCTTCCCACTCCACTCCATTCTTTCCTCTCCTCTCCTCTTCCCTTCTCTTATCCTACACTCCACTTCTTTCTCTCTTCTCTTCTCTTTCTTTCTCTTCACTTCCACTCCACTCCATTCTCTCATCTTCCCTTCCCTTCTCTTCCCTTCTCTTCTTCTCCACTCCACTTCTTTCTCTCTTCCCTTCCCTTCCACTTCACTCCACTCCATTCTTTCCTCTCCTCTCCTTTTCCCTTCCCTTCTCTTATCCTCCACTCCACTTTTCTTTCCCTCTTTTCTTTTATTCTCTTCTGCTTCTGCTTCTCTCCTCTCCTCTTCCCTTCCCTTCTCTTATCCTCCACTCCACTCTCTTCTCTTCTTTCCTTCTTCTCTCTTCTCCTTCTCTTATCTGCTGTGCTCTTCCCCATTGACTTTGCTTATCATTCAGTTGCAAAGAGATCACATGACCCTGTCATAAACATGAATCCGTTGTCAAGCGCCTGACGTTTGATCATGTGACTATGGGATGGCCAAGGACATAAGTATGGAAAAGGATCAGGTCACTTTTTCAGTGCCGTTCCAACTTCGAATGGTCATTAAAAGAACTGTTGTAAGTTGAGGACTCAGTTGTGCCCCCCCCCCCTCCCCAGCTGCCGGGGGTCATAAATGTGAACCAGTTGCCAAACATCTGAATTTTGATCACATAATGATGGGGGATGCTTCAAAGGTCATAACTTTTTCAGCGCCGTTGTTACTTTGGACAGTCACTGAATGAATTGTTGTAAGTCGAGGACTACCTTTAAAATGTCCTTTGCATAGTCTTCTTTCAGCTTTCGGGAGTTTCTGTGTTTGTTCCCAAGGGACTGGGTTTTTAAAACGTTCACATAATTAAAATTAATTCCCCTAAGAGTGTAGAACTGACTTAAGCGAGGGTGGTACCAAGCCGAATCACCCTAGAAAAATCAACGCTGAATCACTGGCGATTTCTCACAGGCGTGTTAACTGAGGAAAACGAGGTCAAATTATAGAAATATTTAGGCGTGTAATCCTCCAGGGCAATTATCTTCAAAACACATGTAAACACACAAGCATAACTGCAGGATTAAGTTGTCTGAGAAGGAGTTGTTGGAACAGAAGGCTTAAAGATACCCCAAAGCAAATGGAGAATTAAAATAAAATGTTATAGGGTCTCCTGCTTCAGCAGGGGGCTGGACTAGAACAGCGGCCACCAGCTGGCAGTCAGTGAGAAAATGTTGGTGGTCTACGGAGAAAAATTATTTGCATTTTTTAGATTGCACTCAATCAGGGGGTCTTCAAACTACGGCCNGGTGCTCATTGTGCCCTCCTCGGAAGGATGGAAGGCTGAGTCAACCCTGAGCTGGTGAGATTTGAACAGCCGAACTGCTGAACTGCAGTCAGCTGAAGTAGCCTGCAGTGCTGCATTTTAACCACTGCGCCACCTCGGCACAATCAATATCAATATAAATCATAAGGATACAAGCAACAAAGTTACAGTCCTGCAGTCATACGTGGGAGAATATGGGTGATAGGAATGATGAGAAGACTATTGGTAATAGTAATGCAGCCTTAGTGAATCGTTTGACAGTGGTGAGGGAATTATTTGTTTAGCAGAATGATGGCATTCGGGAAAAAAAGGTTTAGTTGTCTTGGTGTGCAGTGCTCCATAGCATCCTTTATGTCCAGGATATGAGGGGTCTGTAAAATGAATGGCCCACCATTCATATGAAGTAGCCACTTAGCAGGACTTAAACCAAAAAGTTTGAACAGACTTCTTCAGCACTGCACATGAGGAAACCTATGCATCTGTCATTGGGGGGACAGTTGCATAAGGGTTCTTTTTATACATCATGAAATGTAAGTGTTTCCTGCTTGAATGCGCCTTGCTTTCCCACATCTCCCATCAGGAAGTTGGAACCAATCAGGATGCATGGCATGCACGTTTGCAGAGGTGGGATTTGGGACACATATTTGCATTGTCTGGTCTGCAACATCTGTGACCTTCACTTTACCCATCAACCCCTTTGCAGCCTAAGTCTCTGTTTCCACAGTAAACAGCTCAATTGTGCTCTGGTGAAAAGATATAGACATTCAAAACATTTCTTCCTACCTGAAAGGAAATTCATCTGTGAAGTGAGTTCAATAGACTTGTCTCCTCAGGCTCTCAGAGCAGTACATTCCTCACTCCCACAACTTCCGCTCTGGATTTACTAGCCCACCAATTCTAGTTTCTACCATCCTCAGTAGGGGTGGGTTCCGGCAGTCATTGCTGCCAGTTTGCATTAGGGCATGCTGTGCACACATATGTTTGATGCGCGCATGCGCAGAAGCAAAGAGCAAGATGGTGATGCCAATGGCGTCACCCGGAGAACTGGCTTGGGGGCATGGCAGGCCTGGGCCACTGCTGGTTCCAGTGACCCAGGCTGCCAAAGCACTACCAGTTTGGCTGAACCAGTCCGAAGCAGTAGGAGCCCACCACTGATCCTCAGAATTAATTCATTATACAGGCATTTTGGTGAGGCAATAAATTGTTCTTCTAGGAGAACTCTAAATCAGTCTTATTCCCATTTCCCAGTTAACTGCTTTTGAAATATCAGATGTAAAACATGAAGCCAACGTGAAAACCTCTCCTCCCTGTCCTCACCAGTTTGCTCTGATTTCAAAGGTGCATGTTGAACACATGGACAGATTGACTGTAGACTCAAGTTACAGGGAGATGCTAAGAGTTTTTTATTTCATTTTGGTAAAGGATAGATGGCTGTGCCTAGTTAACTGCACAGAAGAGCTAACCACCCACTGAATATTCACACTGTCAGCAGAGACTTTAAGACCAGACTGGCAGACTATCTAGAAAATTTAAGATAACCACTAGTTGGCAGCCAAGAATATCCAAAGACCGTCCAAATGTTTTCAACCCAAAACGGAGATGTCTATTTTTAAAGTCTGGAGTTCTTGGGGGGAAATTGGGGGGGGGGGGGTTTGAACAATTTTCCCTGCCCTATACTTATTTTTTTTCAGATGGTAGAAAGGCTAATGCAAAGGGAGGGGAAGAAAATTGTGGGTTGGCCCATCTGCACCAGAGGTGAATTTTTAGAAACATATTGAAATATAGGTCTGATGATCACAACCAACAGATTCAAAGTGTTTGCTTTTTATGTCATTACAACCATGGCTCAGTAGCATGTAGGGATATTTATGCAGAAAAGGTCTACAATCTAGAGAGACTAAGCAATAGATATTTTGTTCCTTTGTAAAAGTTAAGGTTTGGTATCTATGCATGAGTGACTTCTTACAAGAATTGGGGCAACCATGAGAATGTTGAAGGTATCTTGGTAAATCTATTCTATTTAAAAGCACGGTGATCTTATTTAAACTGTTAATATTAATGTGTTCCAACCCTTTGTCTATGATTTCTGTTTGTTTCTTATTTTCATTGTGTCTCTCCACCGGGAATTTAGATGAAGGGTCTTTGTTCTGGTCTCCCCAGATGCACAGACACACAGACACAGACACACACACACAGACACACACACACACACACACACACACACACACGTACACACAGAGGTAACTTTACATATTGCTGTAAAACAGCAAAGATGGGAATCAGCTCTTTTTTTTTACAATTAAAAGAGCTGGAATGACATTTACCCACTTTGTTAGATTTTTTTCTAAAAAGCCCTGCAGGCCTGCAAAATCTGTGGCATTTGACACAGACCTTCACTGCCTACCAAGTCTCCCTGGCTTTGCCACCTACCAACTTCTCCATCTTAATATATGTCTTCTTATTCCTTCCTTCTACAACCCATTTCTTTATTCTCTATTGTTATTTTTCCTTCCATCCTTTGAATTCCCTTCATATCTTTTCACCCATACTATAATCATATCATTCCACTGCCTATATTCACCATAGTTTCAACTCATTAAGATGATCCATTCAGTTCTGGATTTTTCTTTACTAGCCTAAGACAGTAGATTAGCTGTACCATCCAATAACCTGGTAAACAATGTAACAACATTGTTTTACTGCTGAGCACTAGTTGAAGTTTTTAGGCAAAGGTTCCCCTCGCACATATGTGCTAGTCATTCCCAACTCTAGGGGGCGGTGCTCATCTCAGTTTCAAAGCTGAACAGTCAGCGCTGTCCAAAGACATCTCCCTGGTCATGTGGTTGGCATGACTTGATGCTGAAGGCACACAGAACACTGTTACCTTCCCACCAAAGAGGGTTTCTCCTTGCATTTTTACATGCTTTTGAACTGCTAGGTTGGCAGAAGCTGTCAACAAGTAATGGGAGCTCATTCTATTATGCGGCATCCGGGATTCGAACTGCCTAACTGATCGACAAGCTCAGTGTCTTACCTTCATGTCCCCTGAAGTTTTTACACCATTGTAAAATCCAGAATATTCATGAAATATCTGATAGTAATAAACCTTAGAGATTACAAAAGAATGAATAGGGATGACAGAATTATGTAAATAGGGTGAGCTTTTGAGATTCCTTGCTCATATCTTAATGTTGAGAAACCATGAGAGGTAAATATGATTATATGACTCAAGTCCCACTCTTTTTGTATAGGTTATGGGTCTTCAATTTCAGAGACACCATCTAAACTTTTTTATTTCCCCACCTAACCCTTGATGACACTAGAACATACGTTTGATTTACCAAAGTTATTCTCCTCTGTAAAAAGTGAGTTTTATTCTCGTGTAGTCTGAAGCAGGGACTCTCTGAATGGCTTTTTTTTTGCTATAAAGACCCCCTTCAGAAACTTAAAAAATATTTATTTTATGCCATTATAATCACTCAAAAGACCTTGAATTTTGATAGAAGGAATTAAAGGATTATTAATCTACCAAATCCATGTGGAAAAATGGGATTAATACTGGATGATAGCACAAAGAGATTTTTTTTAAAAAAATCTCCGTTGCTATCTGAGTGGTTATCTTAGGGTTTTTTTGTTTATTTTTGCAAATCAGATTGAGTAATAATCATTTTAGCAGAATATAATTCAGCTTAAAGGTCCAAATCCTTAATGCTGGCAAACTCCCCTTCAGTATAACTGATGTGCCAATATTAACTGGCTATTGTACACTGAAACTTGCTGACTGTTGTGTTAATCAATTAAAGTGAGAAAAGTAAGTAAGTAAGTAAGATCTTTATTACAGTCAAAGACCAGCAGTATACATTTGTCTTTACACTATATTAAAAATACTAACATTAAAATATAATTAAAAGTATTTACATTAAAAGTGGATAATAACATTATGGTCCAAAGATTGTTAAAGGTATGTCCAGATAATTGGTACAAGNTGGAGCCCTCCTCGGCAACAGGCCACGCCCCCAGGAAGTCTCCATAGTTGCTGAGATTTTTAAAGCAGACACCCAGATAAATAAACACAAAGTGGACACAGATAATTTATTTATTTCCCTTTTATGTGCTTCAGGCCCTATAGCACCTTGAGGAAGCACAGTGATTTTTGTTCCTTGTTTTCATTGCTTTAAAGTCAGCAGAAATAAAGATAGCTTCAAAAATCTTCCAATTACTTTTGAGGGTTCAGAAAGTGAAAATGGTGATGATGTGAATCCCACAGCCTACTTTCCTCATATTTGCATGGCTCAAAATTGGCAGCTTAAGTTAGCAAATTAAGCTCTGATAAAATGAAATAGAGCAATTGGCTCCTGGTACAGCAACAGAATTATTGGTATCATCCTCCCTGATTCAATTTGCAATACTGTTTTTCCATAAATATATTTGCCTTTAGGAGCTGTCCTTTTTAAGGCTGTTAAGAGCAAGGACAGTTTATACTTCCTCTCTCCCTCCCCCACTCTCTTAATTCTTTCTGCTCTTCCAAAGGTTGAGTGAACTGAGCTAAGACAAGCTCTGTGTCATTTGTCTATCTGAATTACTCAACCATAGTACTAGCCATAGGAACCTGCCTGCTGGGGATTATCAAGACAATGATCCATATTTATCTGGCTGATTTCTTCCTCTGTATTACAGTGTACCTTTCGATCAAAGGTTTCCTCCTCCTCAGATATTTCTGCATGGAGCATTAAGAATGTTTAGGAAAAATGAACTGCTTAACCCAGCTGTTGTTTGATCTCTTGGAACGCTTTGCCTCCAGAACTTGTGGGTCCTCCATCACTATAAGTTTTTAAAAAGAAATTGTATGGTCATTTGTTTGGAATGGAATAAGGTCTCCTGATTGAGCAGAGAGTTGGACTAGAAGTCATCCATGGTCCCTTTCAACTCTGCTGCTCTGTATTCACTTCCTCCAAACTAGGTAGGACTAGTTATAATTATGGGGAAATGGCACTACAGTCAATAGCCATTTGAGATTCCTTTTCTTCCATTGATCATCACAATCATCCTCTTATACTTTTTGTGTCATTCTCCCCAAAATGATGGCAAGGAGATCTCTGTATCACCCACACTAAGCAGACGATAGAGTAAGCCTGGCAGAATAAGTGAGTTTTGGATTCCTGAGATGTGAATGGAGGTGTGCACTTTGTTGCTTCCTTGGGTAGCCAAGACTGAGAGAAAGAACAGGCAGCAACACACTAGCCTTTAGAAAGGAATGGGTTGCTTTGTAACCCCTTATTGAATAGAATAGAATTCTTTATTGGCCAAATGTGATTGGACACACAAGAAATTTGTCTTTGATGCATATGCTCTCAGTGCATATAAAAAGACAAGATACATTCGTCAAGAATCATAAGGTACATCACTTAATGATAGTCATAGGGTACTAATAAGCAATCAGGAAACAATACCAATAGCAATAGCAGTTAGACTTATATACCGCTTCATAGGGCTTTCAGCCCTCTCTAAGCAGTTTACAGAGTCAGCATATTGCCCCCAACAATCC